TGGGCTCGGAATCATTCCTGCTGATTTGGCAGTGGACTGGCTTGTTGTCATTGTGCATTTCTGTTATTGTGTGGTGAATGAAAATGGTAAGTGAAGTGAGTGAAGAGAGGAGGGGGAGGGGTCTCAGTGGTTGGGCAGCGCTACAGCTTATTTTGCCGATACTATGTACAGGGATCCGGATCCGGAGTATACAGAGTAGAAATTCGAATCATGGTATACAAATATGCAAATCTATCTATGGTATAATGGTTCAGCTCCGCGTCTTTCGCTTCACCTTATCCACCAGCTTCTTCAGATTCTCCGACTCTGCCTCCTGCGATGCTCCCTTCTTCTGCTTCTTCTTCCCCGTGCGTTCCTCGGGTTCCTCTGGCTTCTCATCACGGTCTCTCCGACGCTTACGTCCCTCATCCAACAGCGCCTTCATTCCGGAAGTCGCCTTGAACTTCGGGTTTGTCGGGTCGATCGCGAATTCGTGGCTTTCGAACAACCGAGAGAACCGTGGGTCATTCACGTCCATGTGGAAATCGTCCGTGACCGCTGCTTCGTCTTGACCCTTGGCCTTAGATTTGCCCTTGCCCTTACCCTTCCGACGGGCCTGCTTCTCCGCTTTTTCGATTTCGTTCATGTCGAAGTGTTTCACGTCCGACTTCTTGTCGTCTAACATGAGAAGCTCGAGTTCAGCTCGGTGAGCGGCTTCTGCTGCTTCCTTGGCTTCTCGTTCTTCGCGCTTCTTGCGCTTTTCTTCCTTGCGACGAGAAGCAGCAGCTGCCTTGCCATCTGGGTTGTTGAAGAACGGATCATCAAAGCCCAGGTCCTCCTCTTCTTTTTTCTCTTTGCCTTTGTCTGACTTATCAGCAGCTTTGCTGCTGTCCTCATCGGCCTCCTCAACACCACCTTCATCTCCACCTTTGGCAGCCCTGTACTTCTCCTTTCTGCGCTTCTTTCTCTCCCGCTCCTTGCGAATATACTTCTCGATAGTCGTCTCATCGTTCTCGGGCTCGTTCTCGAAAATACTCTCTCGATTAGGCTCGCCCGCCAAACCTGATGTGAATGTTACCTCCATCTCGCCAACAGGGCGGTCTGACTTGGACGGCCGGGCAGATTCCGTGCTCAGTCCCAGCAGAGCCCGCATGCGTTGTCGCTCATCCTCTTTCTTGGAGACTTTCTCGGAACTGCCGCCGTTTGTGTCATCGACAACCTCCACATCCTCTCTTTCTTCGTCGCTCTCTTCGTCGGAGTTGTCACTGGCCAGGTAAGCCTTGAGGTCGTTCTCGTCGATTTCCTCCCGACCGCCTTTGAAGGCCCGCGCCTGAGCATCTTTGCGGGACTTGTCTTCTGCGTCCCAGGTCAGCTTGACCTTGCTGTGTTGTAGCGCATCGGTGACGAAGTCGTTGGGCTTGTAGCCATCTGGAATCCGCTCGCACTCATCACGGGGCTTGTCATCAGAGAAATCGGTGTCATCTGGCACAAAGCGTAGGTCGAAGAAGTTGGCGCTGGACAGGTACTCGGCACCATCAACGGAATCGTAGACATGCTTTGCGACCTCCTTGGTAGAAAACGTCAAGATAGCATAGAAGTAGCGCAATCGCTCCAACTGATACCTCCGTAGCTCAGTAGAATTAAACTCTTGCCCCTCATCATTCTTAAGCATGGACTGCTTAATATTCTCCTCTTCCTCATCCGAATCAACATCCTCCTCATCCTCATACAGCTCATCATTTTGCTTCTTCGCAAAAATCTCCCTCGGCGGCCCCTCCGTCTCCTCCTTCTCCATCCTTTCTTTCCCAAACTCACTCGGGAACACAGAAACCTTCAACACCCTCCCCCCAGAAGGAACAAAGCTCGAGAAAACAGCCATCAAATCCTTCGCCCGGATATTATCCCAGTCCAGATTAACAACTGCTATCCGCTTCGACACCTCTCCCATAGGCACATTCCCCTGCTGCTTGTCCGGAAAATCCAACTCCTCTGCCAGATCCTTCGCATCCTCATCCTCTTCATCCTCCTCATCGCTTGAACTCTCCTCTTCCGACGAAGAATCCGAGAACCCGCCATCGCGCGCTGGGTCGAAGGAACTATCCAGCCTCTTTAATTCCTTTTGCACGTCTTCGTCGCGGGCGACTTCGACACTGCCCTTCTCGTCACCTTCCTCATCATCCTCATCGTCATCCTTGTCCTCATCATCCAATTGATAGAATCGCTCAAGTTGCTTCTTCGTATCGTCACGCGCGAGCTTGCGTCCGTAGCGGTCGACTGCGGCGTTCTTGGAGAAATCCTTGTCGCGTAGCATGTGCGCGAAACGCTTGTCGAGCTTTACATGGGTTTGGCGTTTGCTGGGGAGGCGGTAGCGCGGATCTGATTGGATGTTTGCGAATCTGGGGTCGGCTGCAATCATTGAAGATTAGTATAGTTATATTTGAAAAGGGCAGTGATTGGGTTGAAGACGTACTGATGAGAGTACCGGCTTGATCTTTCGATCCGCCGCTCTTCTTGGACTTTTTCTTTTCGGTGGGCGGCATTGTGCTGGTTCAATCTATTCTTTAGGATAGTCAAATAAAAATATCAAAATAAGAAGATCCTATGAAAAGTTTCAATGTAAAGCCGTATCGGCTTTCTTGTAGTTGAGTCGAGATAATTTTCTTAGCGGGCGGAGCCAAAGAATCTTCCGCGGAATTTGAATGGTCCGTGCATGAGGCGAATGGACTGAGATCCTACCCTCTGCTCTTCAAGACATGACAGCGGTAAAAACATTTAATCAAGCGTACGTGTATCTCTCATATTTTTAAAATCGTAGCATCGTCCATCTGTACATTACACATCAATTCGGTCCCCAAAAACTCGCTCTCAACATGCACATACATTCAAAACAACGCCCAAAAGCAACAATTCAAAGAAACAAAGCAAATTAACAACCAAAATACCTCTTTTCCATCCATCTCGGCTCCCTCTCCTCTTCAATCCGACCGACAATAACCTTCACCTTCGGATAAACAGCCGTCAACCGCTTCAGCCCATTCTTCCCCGCCGCGCAAGTTACAAACACAATCCTCTGCTCTTTCACACCGTGATCCATCAACACGCGCACCGCCATGAGAGCTGCACCTCCGCTCGCCATCTGCGGGTCTAACAGCATGACCGTCTCATGTGTTTCTATTTGGGGGGGTAGTTTCAGGTATTGTAGTTCTGGCTCTTCGGTGCCCTCGTGGGTTTGGATGAGGACGCGGCCGGTGATGCAGTCGGGGATTGTGCGCTTTAGGGCGGTTTCGAGACAGGAGCCGCCGCGAAGAATTGAGACGGCGGACGTTGTGCCTGCGGGATTGAGGCCATTGTAACCAGTGCCTTGGGGGGTATTGACTGCTGTTGAGATGTAGGATGCGGAATCGAGTGCTCTGTCATTGGTTAGCATGTCAGGATTTTTGTTTCCCTGGAAGTGAATAGTACGCACTTCTCTACCAACATGCATGCAAGTCGGTCGAAGTAAAACACAAAATCGACTTGCTCTGTTGCTGGGTTTTGGAGGATGGTGTTCATGCCGATGAACTGCGGTGTCTGAGTCATCAAGTGCACATTTTGAGATAGCTCGTGTTCCAGGGCTATGAGACCCAGATGCTGTAGATCAGCACTGTGTTTCTGGGATTTCTCGTCGAGCTTCATCTGGATGTGCTTCACAACAAGATCTGAATAATTAGCATTTTTTTAGAACACCATGAAGGTGCTTAGAAGGCCTTACCAATGGCAGTTTTGTTCTCAATCCCGCGGGGAATAATAAGATCTGTTGTTCGTCAGATAAGACGGAAAAGCAAACAAGTAACCAAGAAGTGGCTCACCGGAAATCGCTCGTTGCGGTTCTACATGCTTCTTGTACGACGGTTTAACAAAGCCAAACCATTGTTTTATTACGCCGTCGATATCACGGCCTCTCTCTCGGACATCGCGTACAACTAGCTCAAGTTAGTGGTGCACTGCATTACATGTTCGAACAGGTTACCCACTTCTGCGTCCAAGACAGACATCCATGTCTGCTTCAACAAAAATCTAGATGATGTCAGTGATATTGGGACGATATGTTGAACGTAGTAGTATACCTTAACATCTAGGAGATCCACGATCTGTGGGTGAAGTGCTAATATGCCCTCCAAGATCAATACTCGCGGCGAATAGAGAGTGGTGGTCTGAGGCTGGCGTTGGTGCTCTGCAAACGAGTAGACTGGGATATCTGCCTTTTTCCTTTTCATGTCATGTCCGGTCAGCTTCCGTCTGATAATTTGACAGTTCCGGAAAACATTCTATACCCTTGCTTTAGGTTCTTCAGCGTTTGTACCAATGCATCAAAATCCAAAGCATCCGGACAATCAAAATCATATTCGTTGCGATGGGCTCTCGCATGGTCTTCAGAGCTCAAACTCTTGTAAAACGAATCCTATCACACAGCGTTAGATGCCAAGATCTTAAACATTTCTTTTTTCCTTATCAGTGTCAAGGTCGATAAAAGTGCTCCGTACCATTACAAGAATCACCACCCATGGCAGATTTAAAGATTTGATGATTTCCATCGCCACAGAGGTCTTACCCGACCCCGAGCTGCCTGCAATGCCGATGATACTCAGATCGGCCCATGGTGGAGTGTAGGTTTTGTTTTGTCTTTCTGTAGCAGACGAGTACACGGGCGGGATTGATTCCATGCTGATAATATTTCTTCTGCACCAGCTCTCCTCCCTATTATCACAAGAATTAACAGCCGATAAAGCAATGCTTTCCGGGACTTTTAGGCATCGCACGCTGCGGGCGTGATTTTTCAGTCTCTTCTTAGTTGTCACTGATAACACTTATCGACGCTTGTTCCGATACGGTTTAGCGTGTCCTCGTGACCTTCGCTTGCGGCTGGAGCTAAACGCCGCTAATTTTCTTCGTGCTTTTTTTTCTTCCTTTAAATTCTTTTTCTCTTCTTTCTTCATTTCTTCTCAATCCTCTCCATGGCGTCCATCTGTGAGGCCTCCCATCTTCACAGACAGCCTTTTCCGTCTTGAAAACGTGTCCAAGACTGACAATACACATACTCTGCCATCTCGGAAAACCATGACTTCTGCTAATTTTGTATGCCTCCCGGCGGGTTGCGCACACATGGTTGCTTGGTTTTAACGGGAAGCAGATGTCCCCAGATACCCCCTCGACAACCACCCCACCATGGCATCAGTTCGAGCGGAAGGTCGAGGATGTCAAGCCATCCAAGACGTGAGTCATTCCTTTTTATCTATTTTCTTTGCTTTTATATGATGTTTTCTAAATCAAGTTGGGAATCTCTCTGAAAACACTTGAAGAGAACATAAATTGACTTGTCGTTCTGATATCGCCCCTGTTTTCGATACTGTTGTGCTCAATGAGTCCTGACCTATCGCTAACTTCGTGAAGTGATATAAATTATCTAGTCATGGACTACCTCATCACCAATGGCTACCCTGCTGCTGCGAAGAAATTCGCACTGGAGGCTAATATCCAACCCAAAGCAGATGTGGATTCTATCCAGGAACGGGTAGACATCCGCACTGCGATCCATTCTGGCGATATCCAGTCTGCGATCGAGAAAATCAATGAGCTCAATCCTCAGGTACGATTCTCTTGAAATATTTTTGTTCTACCCCCACCCCCTTTGCTAGGATTATACTAGTTTCATGCACCACTCATAATAGCCTTCCGGGGCTTGATGATAAAAAACATCTTCAGTCCTCAGTATGAACAGCAAACTCAATCATTATGCTTGTCAACGTCACTCATACATTGGTTGATCCTTATGCTAACTTGACTTGCAAAGATCTTGGATGAGGACCCATCACTGCACTTCGCTTTATTGCGTTTGCAACTGGTAGAATTGATCCGCAAATGCTCCTCTACACCAGACGGAGACATTAGCCCTGCTTTGGAGTTTGCCACTTCTCAGCTCGCACCCCGGGCCCCTACCGACCCTCAATTCCTTGAAGACTTGGAACGGACACTTTCCCTTCTGATCTTTCCGACAGAGAATTTGGCACCCTCCCTTGCTCCTCTTATACACCCAGACTTGCGTAAGGATATCGCCATCCGTGTCAACGAGGCCATCCTACAATCCCAGGGTGCTCGTAAAGAGGCCCGCCTGCGGAACCTGGTCAAGCTGCGCGCTTGGGCAGAGCAGAAGGCCCGAGAAGCTAAGAAGAACATCCCCGACAAGTTGGCCATCGGACTTGACGGGAACGTTAATCATGTAAACGCCAGCGGGAATGGCGCCGGCGCTGCTAACGACACTGTAATGACAAGCAACGGAGACGTTGACCCGATGATCTCTTAATACTCTTTCTTTAATCTGATCTTGCCCTTTTGTTATTGAGCGACCGGCAAGGCGTTTTGGCGCGGATTACTTGGTAATGGCCAAGACCTTTATTTCGTATTAATAGTGTGCTCCAATTATATCATCATTTTATTGAATGCTTAAATTTTCCTTCCACATCGTATCTCTACTAAGATATGAGGTTGTTTTTATTTCGAGCCAGGATCCAAGATCAACCCTGTCGAACACCCAGTATAAAATCCCAGTTATACACATAATGTAACAATGTACACCTCTACCATGCACGTATAATACTTTTAATTCAACCGACGAAATAGATATACACAATATAGAAGCAGAAGACCTCACTCAGCAATGCAACGACACCGAAATATATGTATATCCAACAAGCAGACTGGTATAGCATGGTATGAATTGGTCTATAAAGTGAAACAAAACGAAATGAAACAGATGGAAATGAGAGAGGGAGATCCAATTGAATATCCAATCGTCAGATATAAAAATCTAAATGTTTTGGTAGAATCCAGCACGAGATCGAAGGTGATGGATTCTGGGTCGGATTAGAAGCTCATAAGGTCTGTTCATGGATGTTAATAAACTGTCCACCACGGAATGAAGACAGGAGGAAATGGGAGATGGGAAAAGACATACCTCGTCCAAACAACGCCCTCTTAGCCCAATCCATAGCAAGCATACACCTCGTTCTGAAACTAACACTCTGCGCAAAGTAAACACTCCGCCAGAGATACATAGCCAAAACACCACCTCCAAAGTTCAGCCCCCCAAAGTCGAAGATAGCAGCGTTACTAATATACGCCAGACTACCCAGGTGTTTGTAGTTGAACGCCTTGTAGACAGCATCGTCGAGGTCACCGTAGTCAATCTCGTTGGCGCGCAGGCCTGGAAGCGCGGCGGCGATCTTAGACAGTTTGCGGCCTAGGTATTCACCCTGTTGGTTTGCGCGCTGAGCGGTTGCGGGGAGGGAGGTTAGTTTTGTGTCAATTTGGTGGAGGAGTTCGGAGAGCTCGCCGAAGTCGAGGGTGCCGGATTGGTCTTTGTCGTATTGTTCAAAAAGTTTGTCGAGACGGCGGAGGTGGGAGGAAGCTTGGGGGAAGCGCTTCTTGACGCGGTTGGCGACCTCGCGCCATTCTCTGAAGGTGAGGTGGAGTTTCTGAGGGTCTTTGCCCTTTTGCCAGGCGATTGTGCGGAGGAAAGAGACGACGTGGTCGGCTACGTTGTTTTGGACAGTGGAGCAGTCACCGATAGCGTAGATATCGCCCAGGGGAGATCCAAGAACACGCAGGTGGGAGTCTGTAACCAAGGCGTGCTTGTTGTTTTGGCCATCCAATTTGTCGGAAAGTGTCTTGCAAAGGTCACTCCGCGCTGTGAGGAATTAGCCATGGCACTTTCGAATCATAGGGAATGGTTATTGCTTACAGACACCAGTCGACCATAAGCAAAAGCCCATAGGGATTTCCTTGAGGACCTTTTTCCCGTCTTCCACTTGCGTAAAGAGAACCTTGTCTTCTTGAATTTCCTTTACCCGAGCATTGGTCAAGACATCAACACCATCGCGGTCGAAACGAGCCTATTTGCGTCAGCATCCTTGCCTCCTAGTCCACTGTAGATTCCAAACGTACTTCTGCAAACTTGGAGAGGGCTTCATCGTATGTGTTCAGGATATGACTTCGACTTTGAACGATATGAACGGAAATTTCGTTCCTCAGAATCCTGGGAAAAGAGTAAAGCAGGTCCTCGTTAAGCAAATCAAAAAGTTCAGCGGCAAATTCAACACCAGTCGGTCCTCCACCGCAGATAACGAAGGATAACAGTCGTCTACGCTCCTCGTCACTGGTGGTGGGTAAGCATGCCAATTCCATGTTCTCCAAAACCTGGTTCTTGATTTGCCGAGCATCGTCGATTGTCTTCAAGAAGTTGCAATGTTCGAGTCCCTTAACGCCATGCGGGTTTGTTTTGCAGCCTGAGAGAAAAGAAGGGTCAGCAAGGCGACGTTATGACTAACAACCAAGGCCTCCAACATACCAACACCAACCACAAGCTTGTCGTATGGGAGATAGAAGTTGTGCTTAGTGCCATTGGCATCTACCTGAGACACCTCAACCAGCTTCTCCGAGAACTCGACATCTATTGCCTCAGCCTTGAGGAAGTGCCCATGAACTCGTTGAATGATCCGTCGCACAGGCTCAACCAGTGATCTTAAACCAAGTGTTCCAACTGTGGCAGACGGCAGCATAGGAGTAAAGAGGAAGTAGTTGGTAGGCGACACCACCGTGACATGGTAGTCACCTGGTGTAAGGTGCTTGAGGAGTGCAACACTCCCCCAACCTGTTCCCAATATCACCAGTCTAGGCTTATCCCGCGCTCCGACCATGCCCTCCGAATCATGTTCCCCGATAAGCACCTCCGCGATAGGTAAGTTCTTCGGTCCTCCACGCGGTGGGTTCAGCGCCAATTCCGATACCGGGATGTCCTCCGCGCTAGGCTCCTCGCGGTATGTAGTTGCATCGTAGACGAAGAAAGCTACTACTGCCGCGCCACTTGAAAATATGAAAAACCCACAGTATGCGAATCCCTTATAGAGGAAGCTGAGGGCGGAAGACCGGCGCACTGCTTGGGGTGGTTTGGCGGCTTCTGATTTGAACCGCACTAATGACGCAGTCTTTGGAGATTGACATCGCGCCAAGCATTGGGACAGTTCCGGTCTCCGATGAGAACTATGTAGTGTTCGGCGGGCAGCAATTCCAGTAGACACAGGAGTCCTCGAGGAAATAGATCGATTCGAGAGTAGTCCAATCCTCTTCAGCGCGGGTCCATCCGGACGACACCGGAGCACCGCGCTCATGGTGAGCTAGAGAGCGAAAGGGCGCACAGGGTGACAAACGTTGAATACCGTACAGATTGAACAAGCCCTCACAGCGTCATGCTCAGTAAATTGCAACAATAATGAGAAGTCAACACACACACAAAGACTGGAGGGAAAGCGTGAAGAAAAAACGGCGATATCGAAACGAACGATCCGGACGGTTTAGAACCGAACACCAACGCTGTAAAGGGAAAGGCGGCGACGTCATGGCCCAGTCAGATCACGTGAGCATATACGGCAGGGGGTATTCAAGATTTGTATGCAGATCGTTGGCATTGATAAGAAGCAAGATTATATCAAATCTCAAAAGCAGACAATTTCCTCCCTAAGTAAAAGAAAACATTCCTCATAAATGAATAGATAATAATAAATAGTGGGAATATCAAAGGAAATATCCGCAACGCCAGCCCCGTCTCCCATATGCAACCTTTATGTAGTGATATAACACCCCGAAGATAAAAAGAAAATACAGTCATAAGAATAGAAAATACGCCTGGTAGGACTTCTCATTCACCCCAGTCCATGTTTTCATCCGGCTCGGTGCTGGCCCTCTTTTTCGCGGACGAACTCTTTCGTGCTCGCGGCTTCTTGGGAGGATTCGTCCCAGAGATAGAGCTCTTTCGTTTCATAGGCCGCTGCGCAGCCATAGTAGCACCCATGTCATCGTCCGCACCTCCTTCAAGGCTGTCGTCCTCGGCAGCTTCATCCTCGCCAACCTTGAACTCGTCGTCGATCGCGAGCAATGTGGCGAACTCGCGGCACTTGCTGAACATGTTTTCCTCATTATCCAGTGTTGCCATGTTCCGCGCCATAGCATCCCAGAGCTTCTCGCCAGATACGCCAGGGACCTTGGTTGCTGACTTGTTCAGTTCCTTAGCCCCACCCTTGGCCTCTTTGTTCCGAACGTGTACATTCACTCCGTAGAGGCGACGTAAGTAGGTTCGTGCTTCCCACAGCATCGACAATGCTGCAGCTGCAGTAGCTAGCAACCGTAGCGTAGCTGGGTTTACTTGGTGGGGCGGTTGTACCATGGGTGCATTCGGATCGGCCACAGAAACAGGCGGCATTCCCTCCGCAGGTCCAAGCTGAGGAGAAAACAACTCTGTCTCAATCGAATGGGCTACGACGGTCCCTGTCGCAGCGACAATGCGTTCCATACATCCTATTGTTGGCACAAGCTCGGCAAGTTGATTGTAATCAAAGAAAGCCAGGTTCTGCGAGACGAAGCGGGCCATCAAGAGATGCTCTGGTGGGTTTCCAGTAGCATCCAGGTTCTTCAGCTCAAAATTGACTTTTGAGCAGAAGTTTGACAGGAACTTCTTCTGGTACCGACTGTTGCTGATCTTGACGATCTCGAACAATGGGGCAAGCTTGGCAACATATGGGCGATTCAGAGCACCGCTCGCATCTCCAACAACGTCACGTTGATAGGAGAATGCTTCCTGCACAGCTCGCATGTATTCTCTTTCAAACATGGATTCGTATTGCTGGTGAAGCATTTTATGCGTCTCGAATGCAACCTTGGCGATGGCGGGCACTGTCGAGGTCTCTAGTGAAACGAGCACACCTGCACATTCTTTGGGATGTACCAAACCTTGACGGTTGATACTGGCAATCAACTCGATAGCGGTCAAGGCGTAGGTATCCTGCCGCGATTGTGCAACCCGAAGCATATTTTGCAGAAAATGCTGGGCGATAAGGGCGGCAGCCCCATCGTTGTCACTAGCCTTCATTGACCCGCCTAATCTTGTTGAGTTTTCTTGGTCTGCTATTTCTGCAGTAGGCAAAACAGTTTTCTCGGCCCTGCCTTCATGCATTGCGAAAAAGTCTGCAAAAGATCTCAACACAATGTTCTGCAAAATCGGGTTGTCCTCCTTGAACACCATGGACAGAATCTGTCTTGATTCGTCCCGGCCGAACTGGCCTGGCCAAGATTGGCAGATAGACCCAAGACTTTCAAGAGCCATGACCCTCAGTTCCGTGGGTTGCTTGGGAATCGTAAAGGGAATGATGGAGTCAACCATCAAGCCAGCGACGGATCCACCATTCCATGATGGAAATGAATTTTTGAAGTGCGGCTCGTACTTCTCAAGATCGCAATGTCTCCCGACGCAGCCTGCAATTCGGATGTAGCTTTTCGCCCGAGCCAAGACGGCCGAGTTGGCATTGTCGGACAGATCAACATTCTTGTAATGCTGAATTGGCTTCAATACGGAGATTGTCAGCTTCACTAATCTGTCCGTATTTTGCAAAACACTATTAATTGTCCAGAGGCAAGCCATGACCTCGTTCAATTCCGAGCGAGCAAGTTTTGCCACACTCTTAAAAAGGTCATTTTGAACTTCCTTCAGGAGCGTATTGTGAGCCGATGACAGATAGGGTAGAACACAGCGGTAAATCACGACGGCAGATCGGAAGATGAACAGATCTTCTGCAGTAGCAAGGTGTCCGATATACGGATGAAGGATTTCTAACTGGTCCGGGCTAAGCAGTTTCGAGTTGGCCTTCGCGAACACGGTGATCGTCTGCAACAAAGCCTGCTGATCCTGTTTGCCTGAATTGTCGCCGTCTTCCACAAGTTTCTCAAACATCGTGGAGACCATTACCTTGCATACTTTGAAGTTAGTGGAAGATGACTTCGAGTTGCTGGATAGGACCTTCCTAAGACAAGCACCAAGAGTCTCAAGCGCGGTGTCGCTGCGCTGAACCAGATTAACTATCAAGGATACTTGTTCCCCAATACCGACCTTTAACTTCGGGCCATCCTGAGCTGAATCGATAAGGTCGTAGAAGGGAGCAAGCCATATCTCCTCGAACGTCTGACATGCTATTGCCGCCACACTCTCTTCCAAATCTCCTGTCCGCTGCAGAAAACTGTCCAAAATCGCCAGCTTCAATTCAGTTCGAGATGTTTTGAGATAGATGTCACTAAGCAGGCCAATGCAGCGTTTCCTCACACCTGCTGTCTGGTCGGCAGCACATGCTAAAATACTCCGGCAACCATCTTCTTCAAGCTTCGGTTTTAAAGTGATACACTTCGCAATCAGCGACAGTGCTGAATCGCGAACCATGGGTGATGCATCAGTCGCACAGCGCAGAATCACACGCATGACGGACGCATCTCTGTCAAGGAGACTCGGGTCTTTCTCAAGCATATAAATAACACTTTTCAGACTCCGAGTGCGAACTTTCGCCTGGTCACTGACAATGGAGTTGAGAAGAACCTTGAGAATGGTGTCGAAAGCTTTACAGAAGCTTGAATTCAAGACTGTCAAGATGTAGGCGAATCTACCGTGGGCGTTTGAGAGCTTGCCAAAATGCCTGTTGAAGAGGTTAACGCCATGTCAACTCCAGCCCTGTTCATAAAGTACGCACCTATGTGTCTCCAACCAAAGTGGATCAGAAAACAGTTTGTTAAAAAGAACAACCAGACTGTCAGTGACATCGTCATATGCAATCTCTTCTTTGTCCTCTGAGTTATAGTAGATAGAGCAGGCAGTTTTTGCCCAATGTATCAGGTAGAAACCCCGAGCGCTAGCATCAGTGTTCTTGTCTTGTAGGAAGTATTCCAGAGTCATTCGATAAGGGCCCTCTGGGACGATGAGATCTTGAGGATGTAATGAACGAGCCGAATACTCATCAAACAACTGCCTAAGAGAGTCTGTGATGTCACCATCAAACTCCTCCATTGCCGGAAGCAAGTGTTGTGCAGTTACTATAAGATCTGATATCCCTGAGCCCATCCAACCTAGAAGTTCAAGTGCCATGCTTTTGGCAATGGCAGGGCTCTTGTCAAGATCCGCGATACCAACCATCTGCGAAGCCATGATTCGAAGGAGTAGCTCTGCCGCTGGCCAATCAGTAGAGCCTATTACGCCAAGGAGATCCTCTGTAAAGAGGTCAAGAATATTCCGGAACGGTTGATCGCCGGTTTTCGTAGATGTCATTGCACGCTGAACGATAAATTTCACAATGTATTGCGCACTGCGAACTGCATTATCATAAAGATGATTGACCTTCGTCGCCAGACGCTCCAAAGAAGCTTCTTCTTCTTCTTTTTCACCCTCTCCTTCATCCTGGGCCTCCGGTTTAGCCTCTTCCATAGACTCGTCATTACCATCGTCCGCTGAAGCAGAAAGTCTTCGCTTCATTCTAGCTGACCGCGAGACGGGTGTATCCAATGCGGTTGTTTGAACAAGCTGCATCACCAATGCAGTGAGGAGCTGGATACTTTTACCGTCAGCAAGTTTGAACTGCCTCGCACTCTGTCTTGTTGAAGGGAGTTTCTCCAGTGAAACCAAGATTTCATCAAGAATGAAAGGTCGCTGATCAGGATATTTCGAGAAGATTTTGGCAAGAACATCCATTGCACCACGACGAACGGATTCATATTTTTGGAAACCAATTGCGGAATCTTTGTCTGTGTGGGCATTTTCCACGAAGATCAACTTGGCAGCGAAAAACTCAGTTGCGGTGATCGTCCCCTCAGAGACATCTATCCGTGCAAGAAAATCAGCAAAAAGTGAGAGGACCTTTCTGCTTTGGTAAATCAGGCCTCCAATGACACCTTTTTGCGCCGAGAAGAACCCAAAATAGTTGGCTTCTTTACCACCCGAACGAGACTCAGCCGCGGGGATGATGCAGTTGTCGAATACTTGGTTCAGAACATTTGGGATAGCTTCAACCAGATCTTCGGGGCAGAGATAACGTTCACTTTGACGGCTCGACATGGTCAATAGTAACGTAGCAATCGCGAGAAGAGCATTTTGCATGTCATCTAGTTTTTTCAACCAGTCTTGCACTTCAGATTCATTTGATGGATCATCCAGTTTTAAGTCTGGAGACTGAGCAGCGACTATAGGCTTCTCGCAGAGTTTCTGGACCCGGTTCATGTAATCTGATGGAATATCTTGGAGTCGATTAAAACCAAACACCCTCCTTATCGCTTTTTGGATATGACCATGTATGTCTGACGACAAGATGAAACCGCTCACTTCTAGAGACTGTGCAAACGAGAATATCGCATTGGGACCATCTGACACTGGTTCTAGCTGATCCTCAGCCTCGAAAATCTCATGAAGCAGATCTTGGAGCTTCACCAACGCAGTATCCGCCTCTTCCTTCTGATCTTTAAGGCGAATAGAAGTAAGACTATCTCCTCCACTCTTTGCGCCAGGCCTATGGGTATCGGGAGGGATCGTTTTCGTAGGGATCACCACGGATAGCTGAGCATGCGATGGTACCGACGGGGTCGTGGACTTGTTCAAATTGCGCGCTCGTTCGTTCCAAGATGCGAGTTTCTGGGGAGCGCCGGTACTCTCTGCTTTCGGTGTCACTTTCGGTGTTGGAGTCGTCGACTCGGGGTCTGTCATATAGTCAGGTCAATAGACCACCCATCAACCCAGATGAGAATGCCCTTACATCGGAAAGCTATATCCGTCGAATCCAATAGCATCTTTGCAAACGGGCCAAGTTTGTCGCGTCTCGAAACAATACTGTCAGACGTCGAGGGCAGGTTCTGAGTGACACCTGCACCGGAAGGTAACTTGAACTTGCTACAAAATCCCAATAAGCAAATGTCACGGTTATAGACGAAAGGTCCCCTTACAATTCCGTCAATTGATCCCCATCCAAAAGCTGTTGCAAGTACTCGTGAGAATTGTCTAAGCGGCTGGATTCGTCCGTCCTAGATTTGATATCACTATCAAGATCATTCAACGCAGAGCGTCCGGCCTGTAGAATATGGTTGATAGAGGTGGTATTCGAGGGTCGACCGATATCAGGACGTAGTACGCAGTCTAAAAAAAAAAGAGAAGTCAGCAATGGTTGCTATATCAAACTGATCAAACAAAACATTCATACCCAAACCAAACACCGGTGCACTGGACATAGGCGAGTACTGCAGCGCCTCATCGACAGCCAGAGGCCTTGTCTGGCGCTGCTGGAACTGCCCATTTGGACCGTAACTTTGCCCATAGCCGTTCGCATGATTGACGACGACCTGGACGGCCGGACGCCAGTTCGGGTCCATGGCTGCAACAGTTGGTCCTTAACGGAGAACTGGGGTTGGTAAAAGATGGGGTTCGAAAAGACAGGAAAGGGATATTCCGCTAAGATACATGGCTAGTTATCCAAGCCAACTGCCAGATTTCATAATACTGACAAGCATAATTTTGCTTCGTCCAAGAAAGACTTGAAAATCGTAAAAGAACGACGCAATCATTAATGCCAGGCACGGCGCTGCCGCTCCTGACCGCCCGACGCTAATGTATGGCGGTGGATGGTCCGAGCAAATCTTTCCGGCAGCAGAAAATTTGCCCGCGAGATCTTTCTGTCTGTTCGCACCTTTTCTTCAGCGCTCCGTTTGTTGGTCAATTCTTTCTTAGATATCAGATTTGGCTTGGAAAAACACTATCATCATGTCTGCCATTGGGTCTTTGATTTTCTGTACCGATTGCGGAAACCTTCTGCAGGAATCCACCGGCGATACAAATGCGGTTCTCCTCTGTGAAATTTGCGGAGCTCGAAACAAAGGTCAGTCGACACATTTGTAATTAATGCAAGGGCTGTCAGACTGACTTATTGGTCTAATAGACACGACATCTAAGACCATTGTCTCGGAGTCTAAACCCAGTGATTTCCCCTCAGCTCTGAGGGCCAAGCGATCAGCTGTCCAAACTTTGACCGCGGAAGACAAGAAGACGGAAGCCCTCACTCAACACACATGCGCGAGATGTGGAAGGAAAGAGATGTATTTCACAACGGTACAGCTGCGCAGTGCAGACGAGGGAAGTACCGTGTTCCTTACTTGCGTTTGTGGTTACAAGTATGCTTGCCCTCCTTTCCCCACATGTTTCAACTCGAAATGTCTAATTGCGACTTTTTCAACTACAGGGAAACCCAAAATAATTAGACTCCAAGACTTGCGTTATTTACTCGCATTCGCATCTGCATTTCTATGGCATTACAAATAGGAAAAGCATGAATCGCATAATTTTGTTGGCAAAATCCATCAAGCGGCAGGTACAGCAGCGGGGGCCGCCTCGTCCGGCACCAGCGCATACTGAATTTCCCCGTTCTTCTCATACTCAGCCATGTCAAGAGCTACCTGGATACTCTCTCTCACGACCTGCTCCGGGTCATTCAAGAACTTCTTCAGGGTGTCCTCAACGCCCTCAACATCGCCCAAGCTTCCGAGGGCCTCGGCAGCTTCGTGTCTCACCATACCAAGTTCATTTTGGTCGCTGAGGGTTTCTGTGAGGCTAGGAACAGACGCGGGGTGGCAAAGCTGGCCGAAAACGAATGCGATCTCATGACGGAAGAGCGCGGAAGGGTCCTTCATGCCCTTGGCCAAACCCTCAACAGCGGCCGGCGCTGTAGGGAGATCAGGGGGCGAAGCAAGATCGCGCAGGGCAAACATGGCACGGTATCGCTGGAACAGAGGGAGTTCGGTATCGAGCAGTGTCTTTTCCAAGTCGGAAAGCGAGGGTTGGCTCGAGACTAGGGGAAGCGGCGGGGCAGGGTCGATAGACGAGAAGTCGCTGCAAATAGAAATATACATTAGAATCACCTTCCCAAGATATCAATGCTAAGAT